TCAAAATACGTTGAAGCTTCAATTACAATCCGCTCAAGAATCCTACAAGGCGTCTACAGATAGATTTCGGAATCAAGCACCTACTTTCAAAATTGGAGATAAAGCATGGCTTCTTCGATAAAATATCAAGACCAAGCAACCATGTGATAAGTTGGACTATCAAAGATTGGGACCAATTATCATCCAGAAGCAAATCAATCCAGTGGCGTACCGTCTGGGATTACCTGCTTCTATGAAGGTACATTCAGTCTTTCATGTTTCTCTGTTGGAGCCTTATCGAGAGTCGTCTTTTTCTGGAAGAGTGCAATGTCCGCCACCTAGTATTGAGATCGAGAACGATGAGGAATACGAGGTTGAAAAGGTATTGGATTCACGGCGAAGGTGGGGCAAGTTGGAGTATCTTGTTCATTGGTGCGGCTACGATATTAATGAGCGAACGTGGGAGCCAGCTGAAAATCTCGCCAATGCTTCACAAAAGATATAGGAGTTTCATCAACAACATCCTCATAAACCTAAGCCGGTTTGACGATAGCTTCCTTCTGAGGCTTGCTCATCCAAGAATATAAGAAAGGGGGAGAGCACCACCAAAATTTGTAGTTGATGTAGTTATTTTCTCCAAGATAAAATAGAATTTTTTCAGTAGCCATTGTTTGGTCTTCTGATATGGATAGCCAAGAGATAGATACTATGCCAGTCAGATTATCTCAACCAACTAACTCACAAAGGCGACCCCGAGATGAAGAACCACCTGCACCACGACGACGACAAAGGATACCAAATAATCGATCACTAGTGATTGTATTTGAGTCCGAGCCTGCTTACGATGGTCAACCAGAAGGCATATTTGCAAGACAATTGCACAATGAAGACACGAAAGTTCATGCTTGGTCAGAAGTTGAAGGAGTGGGCCACTACCGTTGGCTTCAAGGGTTGATGAACCACTTACCTCATGAACAACAGTTGGAGTTCATAGCAGACGTTATGCGACAGATCTTCATTTTCTTGCGTTGGTACTAATTGACAACAACATTGCTTCTCAGAGACCTCGAAGCTAAAGGAGGGAGTGATGTTAGGGACATAGTCCTTAGAACCTTCTAGAGACAAGTTTCTAGAACCTTCTAGAGACAAGCTTCTAGAACCTTCTAGAAGCAAGTCTCTGGAATCTTCTAGAAGCTTCTTAGTTGATAGAAGATGTTAGGGACATAGTCCTTAGAACCTTCTAGAGATAAGTTTCTAGAACCTTTTAGAAGCAAGTCTCTGAAACCTTCTAGAAGCTTCCTAGTTGATCGAAGTTGCTTGAGAAGCTTCTTAAATAGGAGTATATATTGGAATCGAGGCTGAAGAGTTCTTCAGTCTCGACAACACATCTCTTGGAGCTCTAGCTCACCTCTCTGGTGTTGTTCTTGTATTCATCTGATTAATCTAGTTCTTGCCAGTTCTTCTTGAACTTTTTAGATCTTGAGTCTATATTTTTGTGTTCGTGACAAAATCTTATAGAACTAAAAGATCAATATATTCTTGTGTTACTTAAAAAGAATAAAATATTATTCAAAGATGATAAAATATTAAATTAGAATGGCTATTGCTAAAGATAAGAAGACTAAATAGTCTTGAAACAAGACTAAAGACTAAAAAAATGTTGACAAGAATGAAGAAGACTTTATTCTTGCCTTCATATATACTATCCAAATATTAGTTACATGGCGACATATAAGAAGAATTCTAACATGTGTCTAATTTATAAGACATGTATTTTTATTTGCACGGCAAGTTTTTTATATGTGCACCATATCATTAGCTTGTATCACAAGCTATCCACACATGCAATATATGGCTAATTTATTGGCCAATTTTTTAATCTATCAATCAACTATAAATATGTATAAATTCAAATATGTATCTATGAAGCTTCTAGGAAGTTTTGCTTTAAGATAATATCAAATCTATCTACATTTATTTTCTACTAGCTTTTGTTATCTAGATAAATATGTATGTTTGTAATACTAGTTTTTAGAAGAAAGTCCATATTTATTATTAGATATTAAACATATGATATATATATATATATATATATATATATATATATATGATTTCTATTTTAATTCTAAATGAATTATAAAATTATTTTAATATAATTTTTAAAACATAAAATTCTACTTTTAACCTTATTATATTGTTTCATTGATTAAGCTCTTATAATATGATATCTTCACATGTCAATTGTAAGCTTTATAATTTTTTGAAATTTAAAAAAATATCTAGTGTTTATTAAATTCTTTAAAGTTATATAAATAAAATATGTCATTCAACTTCATTTAATTAAAGTTATGATAGAAAGACAACATATTTTTTAATGGCTATTGCAATTAAAGTAATCTTATCTTTATTCATTGATAAAAATAAATAGTCTTTTCTTTAGCAAAATGATAGATTATTAAAGTGATATATTTTTATTTTATTTTATTTTATTTTTAGTTCAAAGATTTTATCTCTTTTTATAATTAATATAAAAATATTTAATAGAAAAAATAAATAAATAGATTATTATTTTTATCATATTAACAAAGATTATCAATGATAAAAATGAATCAATAATAAAAATAATAAAAATTCAAATAAGATACTTTTTACCTCTTTTATGATTAATTATATTTTTGATATATTTATCTTTTGTTTATATAATTGAGTTAGTTATATGGTGAAGAAATCTTATATAATCTTCTTGTATAAATCTACCAATAACCTAACCTAATCTGATTTCTACCAATAATCTAACATAGATTAATCTTTTTTAAGTGAATCTTAAGTTTAAATGGATTATTTCATTTTTTTCTATTATAACATGATTAGAAACCTTACAATATAAGATTAAATGCATAGAAAGTTATATTCTATTTTAGAATATTCTACCAATTCATATTGATGCAATAAATGAGCTATCAATATAAACAAATATTGCTACTACTTCTAAGAAAGAATTTTGAGCTTATTGATTTAATACACTCAAATCAAATATTTCTTACTCTTATTTATTTATCTTCTTTCTAATCCTATTGTTAGGTTTAAATACTAGAATTTGTATTAGTTTTTTCTTTTTCTATCTTTTTTATTAGTAATCTAAAAAAATTATTAATTTATTATACTCAATAGATTTTTAAAATCTAAAGCTTGATACATGTAGAAATGTGCTACCATTGTTATGTTTTTGTATTTTTTTTTATAACTTTATAATATTATAAAATCTCTTTACTTATAAAGGACCGAAGTTCCACTATTATTAAAAAAATTATGTTTCTTCATAGCCTTCATGTTGTACAAGTATTATAAGATCCAATTTAATTTGTAAAGGTGGTGAATTTTATATTGACACATAAACACAACCACACCAATTGTAGAACTTTCTATAATTTGTTGCAATATTAGTTAATGGCTTTTTCTTATAAAATTATAAGTTTGAATAAATGATTTTAAAAGAGAGTTATTTTTTTATATTAATATTGATGTTTATATTAATATTAATATTGATGTTTATATTAATATTAATATTGATAGCTATTGTGGAAAATTTTATAAATTCTTATTAAAATCTATGTCCCTACATAATTGATTATACTATATAAAAAATAATTTATTAATAGAAATTTTAAAAATAGTTATTGAATTAATGTATAAACTTATTTGCTCATTACATTATCTGTAGAAAATGTGATTAATTATATAACATTATGTAAGTTGATTATACAATCTTTTGACTATGATTTGTTTGTATGCTATTTCATTAGATTTATTTTTTGTTCTTATATTCTTCCACCTTCTTCCACCTTCTTCTTTTTTTTTTTTTTTGTTTTTTTTTCAAAAGCCTTAATCTAGTCAAAGATTCTTTTTAAATTACTTTATTACCTACTTAATTTATGTAGATTAATTCATCTTCTATTCTAACATTCTTCTATTTGATTTTTTGAGTCTTCTAAAAGTCTTAATTTTATCAAAGATTCTAGCAATAGAATGTTATCTCAAGGGCTTGAATTTTGAGTTTTTTAGCATCTATAGTACTATCTATTGTCTTATAAAAGTAAAATAAGTGTACATTATTATGATTTTTTGATTTTTTCTGTTTTTAACTTATTATCATAAAGTCATCATAGTTTTGATGTCAATTATATTATATATAACATATCTTTAAAATATTTATTAACATCTATGAATTATTAAAAATTACTTCAATTGGCAAATCATGCTTACTTTTTTTGGTTGATATAAATTTTTTTATAAAATTTTATTCTTTATTTATATAAAAATATCAATTTTTTTATACTTTATTTATATAAAAATATCAATTTTTTATCTTTTAAATTCTAAAAAAAATAATCTATATCAAAATAGATTATATGTTTATTTTTTTGTTTATTTAGTTATTTTATTTTATCATTGTTATTTTTATTTTTATTTTTTTAGAAGATATAGAAAATGTGTTTAAGGTAAAGGAAAAGAAGTGGTATGATGTGCAAATTGTGTGAAAGTAGGTACATTTTATAGAGAGATGGATGTAATAAGGTACAAAGTTGAACAAACACTCAGGAAAATAGATACAAATGAGCTAGAATACAAGAAGAATCAGAAAGACTTTGGCTACAAGCACACCCTATATTGTCATATGCACACTTATTATGTCTATACATACACCCAAGGTTTTTGATTGGCTACTCTAGACCCCCTCTTTCCTGTCCTAGTGCACGTCTTAGGCCTCCTCTCTATCTTCATTGTCCAAGTGCAGGTCCTAAACTTCCTCCCTAAGTTACATTGAGATAAGGAAGAGAGAGAGGAGGTCTAAGACTCTTGTTGAGATAAGGAGGGGGTTTAGAGTAGCCAATTAGAGACCTTGGGTGTGTATAGACATAATAAGTGTGCATATAACAATTTTGGAGCTTTGTAGCTTAAACCAATTAGAAATCATGTGTTTGTAGCCTAAGCCAATTAGAAATCATGGTAGTATGCAATAGTTCAAATCAAAGTGGGCATATACATCTAATATATATGAAATAAATCTTTTGGAACAAGCTTTTGAGAAGGTGAAAGTGACGTTCATATGCATCTAATATATATGAAATAAATCTTTTAAAACAAGCACTTGAGACGGTGAAAGTGACGTTCAGACATACACAAAAGTATAACCCAACTTGGAGGTTTTCTGAACGGGGCTCTTGGTGAATCGGTTGTTCCATCAGAACTACGAAGCATCTAACGATCGAACCTTGAGTACGAAATCTAACATCGTCAGTTTTTTGTTTTGTTTTGTTTTGTTTTTTTTTTTTTCCCTTCACGTCGACGATAAGAAAAAATCACTGGTCGTGAAACCTGCAGCGCCGCTGAAAGGTTTTGGGAAGAGGTATCGGAATGCGAAGCTGTATGGGGATACCACGAAAGTTACAGGATTGCTGAATATCCGGGATCGGTATCGCAGCTGCGCGCACTCGTAAATGGCCGCCACTTGCGCAACAGGAAGGAAACGGCACACCCATTCGAGAAGTGCATCATCTTCAACGAATTCACGTGCGTAGTTGTAAACAAGCTTAGATAGCACGACGCGGCCCTTGGTTGTCAGGCCCACCGTAGCTTGCAAATAGTCCTGAAATGCACAGTCGAGCTCATCATGGATGTGCTCCGGAGTGTAAACTCGGACCATAGGGGAAGAGTAGCCACCACAAGAGAGTGCAAAATTTACTTTAAAATTGGCCTTGTCGATCCCATGTTTACTTTGTTCCTCGGTAAGCTTTTTGTCGTGGAGAACCATAGTCGAAGGCTGCACGATTCGAACACAAAACCCGAGTTCAATCACACATCCTGGAAATTAGGACATGAGACACCGCACTTTCGCTCAAACTGCTGCACAATGCTTTCAACCTTACCAATAGGTTGGAATATGAGCGTGGAGGGAATTCAGAGACTTACAAATTGTGGTCGGTGTGACATAATCTTGGCCTTGAGGAGATGGCACTCAATGGTAGCTGCATTGAACCAGTGTCCTCCAACGCAGTATGTTGCCTTTTGCATGAGATCGAAGAACTTGAGATCGCTTCTTGGAATTCCGTATGCAAGAAAGGCCTGCCACCATTTGGAAATCACTAAATCTGGTCTTGGAAAACATCACACTAAGCTGGAATAGAATTCGAGAATCGGGAAGATCGAGTGCAGATAACCTTACATGCATTAGTAGGGAATTGTAAAGGTTTATCCAGAAGGCCAATTTTTGATCGTGGGACATGACAGTGGGGTCGACGTTTGCTAATTGCTCCACCAGCAGTCTGCGCCCACAAAATCTCAGTTAGTAATGTAGGTGCAGAGCCCAAGAATATGACAGCATTGTTCGAAGATTAGATTTGCTCGCGGATAACATCTGGGTCGAGAGAAGTGGGGCTCACTTGAATCTTCCAAGACTCAGCGCTACGTATTCAAGCTGGTCCTTTTTCACAGACAGCCACGGCACGTCGTGAGCATAAGTGTATGGGCCGATGTCAGCCCATTGTAACTTCCCCATCTCTTTGTATGGATCCGGAGTGCTATCACACCCGATCACTTCCGCAAATAGTCCAAGGTTTAGATCTGGGCTTCGGGCTTCTGGCGCAAGAGAAGAATTCGACTGGGAAGATGGGGATGACGAGGGTGAGAGAGGGTCGAGTGTAGAGGATGAGACAAGACACTTTTGTGAGGCATGGGATTCAGAGCTGGGCTCTGCTAGGTGGCAGTAGATGTCAGTCATGCAACGCACCATCTCCTCTGACAGACGATTACCGCCCTTTGGCAGCTCTAGCTTATCAGTACTTCGGCGAGGAGACTCTGTGAAGGATTTCCGCGCCGATTCCTGCTTGTAAAACATGCATGATCATGTCAATCCAACTGCAAGCATGAACCTCCAGTAGATGCTGACAAGAGTGCTCGGGACATGGTCATGGCTTCTCACCACACAGGAATCACTTCGATTTGAGGTACTGGGAGTGGACGATGCAGTGATTGCGTTGTCCAAAGGAGACCTGGGGGACTGAGATTGATCAGATCGTTTAATTCCCCAACTTCGCCGTAGTTTACGCATCCTTGCATCATCTGTGAAATCCTGCAGTGAGCACACAGACGGTGAACTAGCCAAACAAACGATGTGAAGAAATAGGACAAATACCAAGGGCTAGCGGTAATAAATATGGATGTAATAAAAATCATACTAAAAGACCAAGGGTATAGGATTAGGACAAGAAAGTAGTGAGCATAAAAGAACTAGGTTTACCTCGCCAAGTTTGGGAGAGCATTCGCGCGGCAAAGAGATGGAATATGGCTCTGTTTCAGCGGTTGGTTTGGCGGATCGGTCCTCGGAGAAGGACGAGAAATTCCAAAATGCGAGACGCTTAGCAGAGGGAAGAAACTTCACAGGATTCAATGATTTTCGGGCAACTGGGAGATCCGATTGGTCACTAGGAGTGATGCGCGTGGTGTTCCGCGCTTCTTCCCCAGGAGTGATAGGAGACCAAGACGTGGAGAGAGAGAAGTTGGATGGCACTGTCACAGACGATGGAATACAGGTCTTAAAATCCGGAGATGATCGACGGTTCCTCTCTGATGTGGTAGGACTAGCAGTCCGTGTTCGATCCTGGACAATATAATTGTCAGAAAATGCCCACCATCGCAAATGCAACGAAAGAAATATATATGAGGATGATATATAGTAGCCTAAGCCAGATTAACAGGCGTACATACCTTCTTCGACAATGGAAGAACAGAAGATTGAGACTGGCCGTCAAGGGAGCTCCAGAATGACCGAAGACTGTGTCGAGGAGATTTGGGTGGGACATGTAATTTTTGTTCGGGTTCTGGCGCGGGTTTACGCAGAAGCTCCTTCAATGTCGCAGGTCCAGAAGATGTGGCCCGGGAGCTAGATATGACACATGGTGGTGGTACTTCCGAACGAGCCGACGATTCGGTGACACCATCAACTGATCGTACTGATGTCGGCATAGCGATTACTGATTTGGTCACTCCAGAGTGCGGAGGCACATCGAGTGGGGAGTTTGAGGTATGACTCAATGCTGCGCACTCTGTCTGCTCGTGCACAAGTTCCCATTGAAGCGCTGCGGCTTGAGTTTCAAGCCTCTGAACTGCGACCTCCAACATTGTGATGTCGGTCAGCAGCCTTTGAACCTTCACCAAAACAGTATGAATGTCATAAACTGTGACGTTCACGTCAACCCGGTATCGGTACAATTGATCCCACCGATAATGAGGAACACGTTCAGCCAACAAACAAATAAGCACAATCTTGTACCAATTGCAAACCAGGAAAGCAAAGTTAAGAGCTTACATTGTTAGGAAGGTCGTCCAAGACAAAATCACGCATCTGAATGTTGGACGAATGCGAGACTGCTCTTTCTAGGGCACTCCGAAGCTTAACTTCTTGATCAAGCTGCTTGTGCAACTCGACTACCTGTGATGAAAGAAAAATGCAGTCAATGACGAGCATCTGCGAGTGAAGCCACTAATATCGCAATTTGATCCAAGATATTTACGCAACTCGGGAGATACATAGTAGGGAAGGGAAGGAATGGAGCATATGCCTACTTCATTTTCGAGTTCAAGGCGCTGGACGAACTTCTTGAAAGAGGAGCTTTTGACAAGCTTACGCAGCGCCACTTCGTCAATTCCATCCTCTAAGGGCCGTGCTTCACTTATGTACTTCTTTACATGACGAAGATTCGCCGCCGAAGGACCACCTTCCTGTTTCTTGAGTACTTGCTCTTTAGCAATAAGCCTGGCAATTCCACAAGAAGCAGCAAAAAACAAGCTCAATGCCCAGTGTGCATCCAAGCAACAACCTACATTGCAGATGGCCCTCCATCTAGTTGCACTAAGCTCTCATTTCCAAGTCCACAACCAACCCGCACAAACCAGTAAATGTTCTTCAAAACAGAAGATATGAAGAGGTGATTGCAATGCTTGTTTCGACCCAGGCCACCCTTCTTGGAAAAGATTGGACAATTCCAGAAAGAATCTCAAGCCACTGTCAGTGTACTCAATGTGTTCCGCCTATGTGATTTAGCGCAGGAAGCCAGAATATCACCTACCCGACAGGCTTGAGAGGTCCCGCGGGTTTACAACATTCCCCAGAATTAGGAGGTACAGGCATCACTGCAGATTTCGTTACATCTCGACCTCGAATTAGCAAGTCTAAGGTTGAAGCCATATCTAATGCCTCTGTTCCTGCCCAAGGTCGCCAGCACCTGCTTAAAGTCTACCCGCCATCTAAATCTCTGCACCAACGATGCTTCAAACTTTCCCTACCGCCCTCATTCTTCGTCTTCTTTCTTGAAAATCCTATGAAGCCATTCTAATATAGGATTCTTCAATCACCAGAATGTAATCGAGACTGATTTTCGAAACTACTGAAGAAGCCGTTTCTCTGCGTTCCACTGACCCACAACTACAAATCCTGAATCAACTTCAACGACCACGATGTCGCAACTTCACCAAACAGGGCTCAACTCAAATTCTACCTCTTCTAACGTCACCCACCTACTCAGCCAATACATACCCCTCATTCCTCATGACCTCGCCGACACGTCCCCCGAGCCCAACTTCAAACCACTCCTCAGATTCTCCACAACAGAATCGGAAGCTTGTCTCATATCCAGCCGACTTCTAATCAAGACCAACAGTCCGCGCTCCTCTTCACAGGAACATGGAGTCAATGGGCATCGCAGCACGTCGCCGTCACCTACACGCCCGTCTGCCGCAGAATCTCCAGACGTGCCCAGCTGCCTTCCCCATCCCACAAACATAGCCCCGACTCGGAAGAAGAGCTCAAGAACACCAAATATACACACACCACACCACCAATCACCAGCCCGCAATGGCCCCAACAGCGCCTGATGGCTCCGAATTCGCCGTCTTCGGGGATATGTTGTGCAGTGGACAACATGATTCGGACCCACCTTTTCTTTTCCCCCTTTCTACCTGGACTAGCGCAGCGACGGAGCCAAACCGGCTCATTCGTCCCGATCTGACTTTCTGTTTCACCTGCTCCTTCGTCTTCTGCTCCTTCGAAAACTTCGCCCCTGCAGGCAATTCTGCTGCGGAAGGGCCTCCGGGCTCGGGCCAAATCTCAACACAAGGGCCCCGCGGCGCCCACCATTCTCACAGCGTTTTGGGGCCCGTCGCGACGCCACTGCTGCTGCTGCTGGCGCTGCTGCTGAGAGGTGAAGCCTGCGGCGGGTCTTCCTTGTGCACTCTAACTCTCCAAATGAGCTTCTTTCTTCATATGGGTGGCAATATTTTATGCCCTTAATCACACCCACTATTCGTGGGTGTAAAATGAGGAGATTGTATTTGAGAAAATGCTGTGAGGAAAGTCAAGTAGACCGGTGGTTAAAAAGTGAATTGAAGAGTTACTGGCACCCTTTCGTTAGGCTTTTTATTTGAAGTTGAGATGATTCTCTTCAATAGGAACATGTACCCACTTTTTATTTATCATTTACCTTGCCTTGAAATATACGTATTTTTTTTATTATAACCAGAAGAAGTCAACTTTAGAGGGTACCTTTAGGTGAAGTTATGGCTTTTGAATCCACTCTTGATGCATTTTACTAGTATTCTACAATGAATAAGCGATTGAATTTACAATCACCTTGATGTTATTGGAAATTATTCAATTTGAGATTTTTTTTTTTGAATCAAATTAATAATAAAAACCAATCATGCAAAGAAAATATTCTTGACACTTAAATTCAGCTCTTTGCTTGAAGATCTCTAGATCCTTAATTTAAGGAGGATTAGTCTTATTTTTTTATTTATTGAAAATGCCGATACTATAGTAATTTAACAAATTTCAAATTCGAAAAAAAAAAAAAAAAAAAAAAAACATTGAAAAGAAACACCAAATGAACAGAGAAGTAACCTAATTTATGAACATTCTGTGATCAATCATGAGTTTGACAGTTTCCTCTCCAGTAATCAACAATCCCAAAGCCAGGAAAATAACTGCATTCAAAAGAGTGAATAAATAACGGCACAAAAGAAGAACATTGTCGAAGTTTAACATCAGTGTTTTGAATATCACTTTCTACTACCACTACTACTACTAAAAATAACTTGGTTTTATGCAGAGAAAAACAAAGAACATGCCTCCATTTGAATTTACATTGACACGTGAAAGTCACAAAAATAAATAAAAATACATATTGATTCCTCTGCAGATACCAGCACGAGGCTGGACTTTAGGGTGCCCAAATGGCCCCCAGAAAGGGATCCATTCTCCACGCTGGACACAGTCATACACGACTGTGAGCCAGATGTGCCTTCCGGTGACCAAGGACATGCTCCCGCGGGGAGTGGCGAAGTGGCAACCAAGTACCCTTAAATGCGCCCCCCTAATTAGAAGTTGAGCTGTATGACCCTGGGTCAGTCATTGGTCCGAATATAAACCCTAGTGGGAAGCGTAAGGGGGCCCAAGGGCGTGCCATGACGTGAGGAGCCAAACGGTCATGGGGTCGGTCCTTCACGGAGCTGCTTATCAGTGGAGGCCCTGGCTAAGTTTAAGGCGTGCCTTTGTTGTGCGGCGAGGCCTTGGGATTTGGAGGATTCCACAAGTATCTGCCGCTATTCCCCATGACCAAGCAAGTTGCCTCTACTCGCCGTGATTACAAGGAATCTTCTAGATTCACATCAGACGACTTGCCTCTCCTGTTATTCTGTGAAGTTTATACGGTGGTTTTTAGAATTTCATGGGTTCATATTTAGGGTTGTGCTGTGTTAAGTTGGGTTGTGGTTTTTGGTTTTTTGGTTTTTAGGTGCAGGATTCGGGTCTTCCTGCTTCTAGAATGTGCTGAGTTTTACTTTTTCCACAATGTACTGCTTTTAATTTATCAGTTGGGCTAAATTAAAGGTAGCATTATTCGGAATCAAATGTAGTGCTGATGGCTGATTTAAGTGCATCAATGAATGAAATTAGAACAAGTATGGATTAATGTGAATCTTTTATTATTTGAAGACCAATCTCACATCATTAGCATACATTATTTTATTGCGCACATACATATACAGTAACAATGTAAGTTTTTACTTTTGTTGTAGCAGTTAACTCATAATTTATGAGTCTTCTTGAACCAACGACACAAAATTCATCTCGTGTGTGTTTGTGAGGAGTACCCAAAAAGTAATGTCACCTTGTATTTCATGGGTAATTTAACTTTCAGGAGTAACAGATGAGAAAATGATAAAGAGTTTGTTGGCTGTATAATCCTCTCTGCTAGCAACAAAAACCAGTTGCTCCGGAGCTAGCACGTTGTACTGGACAATTACACAACAGGGAATCGTCTTCATTAGTAGAGGAATTTCGCTCTGCTTTGAAGGTAAAAAGCTGGAGAAAGAAATTTGGGCTGCAAAAACAGCGGTTGCAAAAGTCTACATATCTTTAGGAATCTCAGGTGCATAGCAATCGAACAGATAAGATTTCTCACACCTGAAATCTCAAAGACTGTTGCAACATTCGCACATAATGAGAGTGATCATTGGAGACAATTAAAAAATAAGAATATTAATAACAAATTAAAAGTGAAACACGTGGAAGCTCCAAATGTCCCTGCTGCTGCTAGAGTCATTTCTTAAGCCTCTGAAACAAGGATGTGAACATTAAAAAAAACATTCTTCACCACACTGAAATCCACAGTCAGCGTAGTCTCTACACTAGAAAGCTGCAGATGCTTGTGATACCTCATCCAGCAGCATCTCGTGCACTGTTTCTGAGGAGATGCGGTGTATCTTCTCGGTCAACCAATGCAACCCACTTACTCTTTCGAACATCCACTCGGGTGTAGCTCCTCTAGATCTTGTAGAAAAGCGTGTCATCAGGAACGACGAGTCAGTCAACAAAGACGATTATCACATCTACATAGATGTGTAACAAAACGAGGGTCATGATTCAAGATCTCAAAATTTGGTCCTGAGCAGATCTTTCCCCACTCATTGCTTGGACCTTGAGGTATCTAGATCCCACTAAGCCGTTTCGATCCTCGGAACTTGTATCTGACCTTGGTACTCGGTTACAGCGAGAGAGAGAGAGAGAGAGAGAGAACCTTTCCTAAGAGAAGACAATGGGCACGCTGGTATAACCAGTGCTCTCACCTGAGCTCCGTTTCCCAACCAGATCACCAGCTTTGTCATTGCTGGAGTAAATATTTTCTATTTCAGTAGCGGCTGACTTGAATGAGCCCCCACCAGCCTTTCTCGTTTTCATTGTGGGGCCGTAGACTGTTGCTTCCACATCCAAAAAGTACGAGTCACCCACAGCAGTGATGGTGTACTGTTCGGCTTGCCTTATGGTTACCAAATGTACGAGGTTAAAATCCTACTTTTGAGAAGATTTTAGCATCATTCAACCTATTGGACACAACGTAATAGCAGAGTGCACATAGAGTCGTCATTTCCAGCATAGGAAGATAAAGAGGCATCTACAATGCTAATAAGTAGAATCCATTATCACTTGTGATTATGCAGAGATTCATTCGTGTTTACATAATAGAAATATGCAATCCAAACTGTTTGCCTCAGCAAGCAAGGTAACTAGGACATTCAATACATGTCAATCCTTCATCTTCAGCTATTGGAAAACAGGAATGCCATTAAATCGAATGGGAGTGTGTACTACGTCGTTACCATTGTCCCAAAACTCCAGAATCTTTTACATTCCATTCCAGCTATGATAGCAAGCCTGCGAGGGGAATACACGTAATAGTGTAAATGACCTGAGTTCGAGCACTTGAGTAAAGAGGAATAAAATACACCATTCACGTTTTCTGTTCCGTGCCCTCCAAGCTGACAACACTTCAGCGAGGCATGAGATAACACCAGCTTACAGAGATCAAGATATGAAAACCTGCAAAAGTCAGTCGAGCTAAACTGATCTGAAACGTTTCAGATCAGGTAATAGAAGCCAGGCAGTGCTTCGAGAGGGCGAAAAACTGGAGAATTTGATGGAGAGGTAGCCGTGCATACATCAATTCCAATGTACTCCATGGCATTTCACACCAGAGATGTCAATTTCGACCTTATCATGAATACATACACAGTTACAGCACACCAAATCGTTATCTTAGACTTTCACTGGACGATGCCTCCCAAGTTCAACAGCGTCATCTTCACGTTTAGATCAACGATCTGAAGCAAGAGTGTCAACAGCTGTAGCCCCAATCCCCAGTAAAGGAATATCAATGCATAATTGTCATATCACTCTCAATGGAACATGCTGCATCGTATAGCTCTTTTCATCGCTTCTATATTAGCGAAGAATTTTACACGCTAGCATATACACAATCGGTATCCACTTCTAGTACTAATTATGTGTTGAGAATCGTTTGTAAGCAATGCCGGAAGAAATTGTAAATCTGTCTTTGGGTTCGTCTGGCTATGCTAATATTTCTATCTGCCTCCTCCGCCTTAACCAAATCGATATATTTTTGCGTATTGGCCTCGGATTAGATGAGCACAACGAGTTCCAACACTCATAAAAAAAAGAAAATTGATGGTCTTGTTCTTTTCCCCGTAAATGCCTAACTACCTCAAGATTGTGTTGTGCTGTCTGCTCCTTCCAGTCCCTGCATCGACATCAATGTACAATGAAGAAATTTAGGTGCCACCTGAACGACGTGAATGCTAATACATGAAAAAACACATCACATCATGTGACTAGATGATGTCCGTTAGTCGCAGGAAAACAACATTTAGGTAGGTGACGTCTAACCTGGTCATCCCATAGGATAGAACGAGGACTCCCAAAAAATGCATCATGGAAATCCGCATCGGAAATTTACACTCATCACAAGATATTTCAAAGTAAATTGATAAAGGCAGAAGGCGTACCAGTTCGATGGCATCCATCGCACCAATTAGCGTGTCGAGTTCTTCCTTGGTAAACTCAGCAATAGTTGTTTGAATCTGATTTTCTGATAGAACTCTTCCTAAACCTGCCTTGTCCACTTTGATCGGAGACTTGGAAACGTGTAACTCCAGTCTTAACAGAGCCTTGTTCACAGCTGCAATATTTCCACTGGCAACTGCGTACTGCAAAAGCAACAGAATCATTGAGAAACAAAGTAACATTTATTGGAACACTTAGAAGAAGGTAAACTTAAGCATTGCCGTGACAATAGGTCACACTTTTCACCCACGTATTGCACTGTAAGACGCATTTCTTTGGGTCAAAATATATTCCTCTCGAGAGAAGGATTTTATAGAGCATAGAATGAACTCCAACATATAGACAAATTCTTCAACAACGTTATCATATCCCCCTGAAATAGCTTCACTTTTGCCCGCTCATTACAAATAAATTCTTTAAACACATAGCTCGAGTTGGTTAATAAATTTAACAGTAGCTTCCTCACGACTCAAAGAGCGTCTCCTCTTCCGCTCAATTCTCTCGATTAAGCCCGAAAAGACACCCTGTACCTCAATCCCATAAACAGCAATCCACGTACCACATACGGCGTTTCACATCATCCTAAAAAGAACAAGAGTTCGCAATTAAACTCATCGCTTTGTTCGTTCGAGATCAAACTAAAACAAAAACCTCGCCCCCCTCCAACCCCCCCTCCACCCTCTTACACAGCGCCACCAAACGTCCTCTAAACCTGACGACTCACCATCCTATACCATCTAACAAAGCAGACCACGAAGCACTGTCATCAGACCTTAAGCTTCCAATCGAAGTCGAGGAGGGGCAGAGCGTAATCGATGCGAGGCGTGTTGGAATGATCTGTTGACTGCACCGCCATTGTCATTCAGCTACTGGTGTGACCAACTCTATCGTGATTCGGTGCAGGTTGGTTGGTGTCAAATGCGAATGCTTGTACCGCTCTTGTTCCAGCAATACTCCCACGCCTCAGGCGACAAGAGCTTTAAATTGTAGAAAGATGTACAAACCGTTCCCATCGATGCTGACTCAAAATCAGCAAATACTACAGCAACTTGCTACGACTGGTCACGAGCTACAATATTCAGTTCCGCAGAGAGTAGGATTCTAGAAGTCGGTTCTTTGACTCATTTTCATTTAGGGTTTCGTGGCCCTCAGGAATGAAACCCTAAAGCACCAATGAGTATAATTTTATCGCCCCGTTCGGTCGTCGTCGCTTCGGATACAACCTTCTGGTGCTTTGTTAGTGGATGACAACTTCCACCACGTCAAATTTAAAATTGAGCAGATCTTGTGATGATCTTCCACGTCATTTTTTATGCTGAGTTTCCAAATTCCGAGTCCCCTCTATCCATACATGAAACCAAGTACTAAGAGAGGGTTTGAGGCAGCAAGCATAATTCAATCTCGTTCAGAGTGCTGAGGTGATGATTCAGTATGTAACAATAGGCCATTGAACCCAATTCTGCTGATCACAGCTGAGTTTGAAGCTCAATCGCAACCCTCCGAGCAGCTCATTCCATGACGGATTCCACTGATCGGCTTCGGCGACTTGAAAAATTCCTTCACCATCACTGTGTACACAAATCCAGGGATGCTTCAACGCAACCCAACAGAATCCAGAACCCTTGACGAAATTGGCAGAGTTTACCGTGGTTGCGGTAATTTATGAGTAAATTTGAGTGCCAAACATAACACGGCTGATCACTTCGTCCAAATGGAGAATTAAGCATTCCGATTGCTGAGCCTCTGTTCACAAACCAGGAAGGATTCGTCTTCGCGATGTTGCCGGTAGGGTTTGACTAGAGGAATGCTCGGCGACATGCCCCCCAACAAGGTCCAGCTCCCAACGGATGATGTTTGGATGGATGTTTCTTGTCGTGATGTACGTTATTCATCTATTCATCATGTGTTGAAGTCTTGGTGAATAGGGTGTTATAAGTCTTTATCCTCTTTCATTTATTCCTAGGATATGTAGAAACATTGTTAGTAGTATCCATTACATGAGCACACACAACTTGATACATAAACAAATGGTTTTGATTTTTGTGTAATAAAAAAGAATTCTTTAATTGATATTTTTATTCCATAGTAAAATCAGATAATGATGTGGATTTTTTATGATTCAATATCTTTAGGACAATATAAAGATTTTATTTTTTAATTTTAATTTTAAAAATACATAGTGTTTAAATAAGATCTAAAATAATTGAAGAACATGATTGAATATGGATCAAAGCTAACAATTTAAATAACCAACATAGTACTTATAGAATATTCTCTTAATGTTGGTTTGAATTATATGTGATAACAATAGTTTCTAATATTCCAACATTTCTATTAAAGGGTACAAGTTTGAAATTAAGAATTGTTAAAAAAAAATACTGAAAAAAGTTTAAAATTTTGAATATTAATATTTAAAAAATAATACTCAAAATTTAGTATAGAAGATTTCACTTAAGACTTTAATCTTTTAGAAGAAGGAAATAATATTGATTTGAATACTAAAAATGATGAGGAAGAATTAAATATAAATTTTAGAAGGATGGTATGAAGTCAATAATAGAATATAATTTATTTGATTCGCATTAGAAGATGCTATTACAGACATACATATTTATTAAGATAAGAAGTATTAGGTAGAAAGTAGACATAGGTTGATTTGATATTATCTTATGGAAAAGCTTCTTAGAAGCTTCATAGATGCATATTTGAGTTTATACATGTTTATAGTTAATTGATAGGTTAGAAACTTGGCCAAAAAATTAGCCATATGTTGCATGTATGAATAGCTTATGGTACAAGCTAACAATGTGGCGTACATATAGGAAACTTGCCTTAAAAATTAAGTCACATGTCTTGCAAATTAGATACATATTAGAGGTCTTGTAAGATGTCACCACATAGCTTTTAATTGGATAGTATATATAGAAGCAAGAATGAAGCCTTCTTCACTCTTGTCAATGCTTTTCTAGTCTTTAGTATTGTTTGAAGACTTTCTAGTCTTCTTATCTTTGGCAATAGATATTATATCATATTTTAGTAATTATCTAGTCTATTTGAATGACAAAAGAGTGAATTGATTTTTTAATTCTTTAAAATTCATATTCTTGATAGATCCACAAGTTCAAAATGAATTGAATTTGTGTTGTAAAACAATAATTAGTTGAAAAAGTTGTATAAGGATTAAAATATATAAAAAAGTTGTAAATATAATATTAGTGTATATTATACTAATTTTTTTAATGATAATAGATTAAAAATAATTTAAATTTTAATCCTTTAAATAAAATTGTGTTTAAAATATCTTCTATCTACATTATAAGGCCATAAATTGGACAACATAAAGAATTATATACATATGTATTTATTTATTAAATTAAAAATAAAATAAAATTGTACAAAAAAAACCATAAAAAGATTATATTAATTTTTACAAAAGATCACTTGTAAGATAAAATCAAAAATATATCTCAAAGAATAAAAACAAAGATCAATAGAAAATAAAAGATTTTTTTTATAAGATATAGAGTTGTAGAGAATATGAAGAATATTATAAAACTTTGACTCTAAAGAATTTGAAGAATATTAATTTTTAAAGATATTAATGTGAAGGAGTTATTTTATAATAATATTTAAACTATTTAAATCAAAAATAATAATCTACATACAAAAAAGAATATTAAAAAAGAAAAAATATATTTTTTATTATTAATTTAGATGAATTTAAATTAATATATTGAATAAAGCATATTTATGGTATATTAATAAATAAAATAAAATATTAAAGTTACATACTAAATACCAATAATATTTAATAAAAAAATTCAAAATTTGGCTAATAGAGATCTTCATCAATAGTGGAATAGATAGTGTCAAGGACATGAATTTTAAAGAATTAAAAGATCAATAGACCCTTATGTCATTTGAAAAGACTAGAAAATCATTCAAAAATGGTAAAATATTAAACTAGGATGGCTATTGCCAAAGATAAGAAAATTAGAAAGTCTTCAAACAATACTAAAGATTAAAAAAGTATTGACAAAAATGAAGAAGACTTCATTCTTACCTCCATATATACTATCCAACTAGAAGCTATATTGACACCCTATAAAACTTCCAATATATGTCTAATTTATAAGATATGTATCTTAATTTATAAGAAAAGTTTTTCATATAAAAATTATTGTATTATAACATAACTACATAGTTAAAGTATAATCAAAAAAGAAATCTAATTAATATCTAATCATTTTGATTCAATAATAATTCAAGAAATTTAAACATGGCTTTTATATAAGCATCTTAGTTTATTTTCTTATCTTAGTAGCTAGTAAATTAAAGGTTGATTAATAATTTTACCTTCTATATTATAGAAATTCTTTTATTACTTTAGAAAGGCCATTATTTAATAAAAATATAATAAAAGAGATAAATAATTAATATAATTGACACTAAGATTAAATTAAAGGTAGGATCTAACTAAAAAATCCCTAAAAAAGGTTGGATTGATACTTGGAGGTCGACTATTTGTAGAACAAGATCAAAATTAGACCTCTAACCACTAAAACCACTGTCTAGGACATGATATAGTAGTATTTGGAGATTGGCAATTAAAACTAGAGCACTAGCTTTAAACTTGTTTCAAAAATATAAGGTTGGTTTTCATAGGATTTGAGATGACTTTGTAATTATTCTTCAAAGTCAAAGTTTTTATTGGTGACTTTGAATTTATGTTATACAATTAAGGCTAGTACTCTCAACTAATTTGTGCAATTAGTATTACATCTATAGTTTAAAATTTGACAATAATTGGTTGATTGAGTATGCTAAGTCTATATAAAATTTTATATCAATCTAGCAATGTGATTAAGAGATATCTAGTTTTTGATACAAGAGGATATTGGAAGTTTGCAATTTAAGATCAAGTAGGATTTCTATGATATTCAAAGATCTACTAGTTGGAATAAAATTAAATTTGGCATGGTATTAGAAGATTTAAAGATCAAGCTAAATACTATTTTTGAACTAAAATTAATAGTTGGAGAAGAAAAAATTCCTATTGAGATATTTGCATTAACTTTTTAATTAGCAATCAAATGACATTAGTATGGTTTTTTGGATGTTTTTTCAAAATTTGTAAGTTTAATTGAATTAATTTTTTTTAAACGTATAGAACACTTTTAATAAAATTTATGTGAATTTTTTTTGTACCAAGTAGATGATCAAATTAGAAGTTATAGCTTGCTAAAGCTTACTAACTACGATTAGAACTTACAAAGAGAAATCAAAATTGCTTAATTATGAAAGTAATAAGACAATTGAAGTTTTTGTATAATTGAAGTTATTAATAAGATTATTTCTAAGCATTTTATATTGGCTTCAAAGAATTTTAAATTGAAATTAAAATTATATTTTTTTTATATGGGTAAAACCTATTAAAGTTTTTAGATATTTATAAAACACAACTTCATCTTCTATAGCCAAGTGCTTAATACATTCTCAAGCAAGACAATATATAATATAACAATACCATATAATTACCTTATATAACAAGTTATTCATATGTATGATATATTATTAATTTTTCAATCAAATTTTTAACTTTTCAATCAACTATATAAATAAATAAAATTAAAGACATGTTTATAAAGCTTTTAAGAAGCTTTGCTATAAAATTATATTAAATCTATTTATATTTACCTTCTATCTACTATTTCTTATCTAAAAAAAAAATATATATTTGTGATATTATTCCCACTTCTAAAGACGAATTCAATGAAGAGCAGTTGTCAAAGATACAAACTGGAAGATGCATAAAGTCATAAAATCTGTGTCAAAAGAAAAGTAACAAAATAGAAGAAAGTATGTATATTCAGGAAAGAACTGGAATGGCTATTGCCAAAGACTAGAAAACATAAGATACTTGAAATTAGACTAAAAAAGCAAGAAAGGAATTGAAAAAAGTGAGAAAGGCCTCACTCTTGCCTTTATGTACACTACTTAACTAAATAATATGTGGTGATGTACTATAGGACCTCTAATACGCATCCAACTTATAGAATACATGTCTAATTTGCAAGGCAAATTTCCTTGTTGTGCGCCATATGTCCAACTTGTACTATAAGTGGTCAATATGTCGACATGTGGCCTCCTTTTTGGTCAAGTTTTCAATCTATTAATCACCTATAGACATATATAAAGACAAAACAACATCTATAAAGCTTCTAAGAAGCTTTCTACAAGATATTATCATATTTATCTACTTTGACTCACTTCTATCTATTCTTATTATCTAGATAATTATCAAGATAAATATATATGTCCGTTACATTATTCCCTCTTCTCGAGATGAGTTCCACGAGGAGCGGTGATTACATGTATATGAAGTCTAAGATGCGTCAAACTGTATTTGCCACATACTCTGATCTTTGTTCCCTTTGAAGGTAGTTAATAGGTCCCTTCAACCATCGATAATTTCACATACTAAAGCAAAAAGACCACCATGATATTTGATCATTATTGAGGCCTTTATAACTTCTTTCAAATAAAACATTAGTAATACCATTAAAAGTAGTTCTTATCTCCAAAAGTATCACTTAACATGGGAAGTTCTTTTCAAGGTTGTGGTACTAAATGTGTTATATCTCACAATCTATTTAAAGAAGAACATGTCATTTTTGAAGGTCTTCATCTCGATTTTGCCATCTTAAAGATTGTGATAGTCGCAATGTCTTGTC